CATCATCTCTTTTCCTGGTAGGGCTTCCCCCCTCCGCCTTCTCAGCTCCTGAGGCTTCGTTCTGATCGTTTCCTCCCTTTGGTAGAAAATTCCTTCAGTGTCGTCACTTTGAGAGCTGGCCTTTTGCAGCATTTTGCTTATAAAATGTACCCCTTAGTCATTAATCTCAAATGAGAACAAGGCAAGTCTGTTATATAGTAATATGTAACGAATTGTGGTATGAACAAAGAATGCATTTAACCTGTACGCTTGCATAAAACGGTCCTTCTTTGGGTCAGTTTTGTACACAGCATTCCTCCTGTGAGGGTGCTTTGGGTAAATCAAGAAACTAAGGTTTTGATTTGTGAAATTAAGAGAAAGACAGGAATATCACTGCTTGGTAGGCAGAACTAAAAACAAAACTAGTAATAACTGTAGTTTGGCAGTAAAATGATTGACTGATTTAAAAAAAAATAATAAAATCCAGTGGAAAGCATTTGTGCAGTGTCAAAACTAAGGTTATCTATTATAACTCTGCTATAGTTTCATATAAAATTAGCAAAAACCCTCTCGTACCACACATCTTTAAATAGCCTTGCCTTTGCATGCGCATACATTCCTTACTGTTTCTCAGAGCATTTATTTATTGACGGGGTCTTTGTAAAGGCAAGAGAATTGGATTATATATTATGCTAAAGACATTCCCATATTACTGTTGTTGCACTGTACTGCTTAAGGTCCCAGTAAGAATTTTAATTTTGTGTATGTTTTTAAGAAACATTCTTTATTTTCAGGTAACAGTTTGGAAAAGTAGGTGGGTTTTTTGTTTTTTTTTTTACTTCTGGCAATCCAGACTATTCAGGATGACCTAAGGAGAAATGCTATTTGAAAATTCAACTTCATGCTTAGCCTTTTCCATTTGTGTTTTCCTTTATTTCTGCAGAAAGCGGATGCACAAAGATAGTTTCTGTGGGTTTAGGAAACAGGTGATTGCACACAAAGCCCTGTGTTTATATGCACTGTGCTGTTTTGATTTTTAATTAATGGTGCTTTTTGAAAACTTCAAAGTAGGTCAGTAGAGGGGTGAGCTCAGATGGTGTTTGATGTCAGCAAGTAAAAATGGAAGAGGGTCGTCTGCCCCTTATTGTGTGTTGTGAGGGGTGAGGGATTGTATCTATTTATTTGAAATTTTCTTAGTTGGTCTTCAAATGACTGAAAAAAAATAAAAAATAGGAAAATGCTATCTAATCAAAGCTTCTCAGTCAACTAATGACGTCAAGCAGTAACCTTCTCTTTCTCACCATATTTCCTTTGGACTATAAACTATTTAATACAGCTCAAAATTACCTCATCCATCATAGCAATGTAGCCCTTTTCTGTGTTTCGCTACATAGTGGGTTTATCAGTGCTGGGCATGGGAAGGAGGTGAAGAATAATATCCTCTTTAATTGAATGTGCAGATTGGAATGTGGGGAGGAGGAACGGCCCGTGTTGGCGTCCGGCCAGCACCCTGGGTCATCGGCCTCCTGCTAATGAAAAATGCTCTAATGACTGCACTTACCAGGTCCCAGGATATGAAATACACGTGTTCGGTATTGTACTTGTGTCTAACGTGGATTTTGAGCAATGGCAGTAACTTAACACAGGGACACGACCTGCGTAGGGTCTTACTCTGTGCTGACTTGACTGCTGTGTGTGAGAAAGATGAGCTCCGCTTGAGTGCGTTGGGGGTGAGAGCGGGTGTTGGGCCTTATCATGGAGAAATAAAAGCACTTCTTACCTTGTGGTGATTTGTTCATACGACCTTGCTGTTAGAAAGAATAATTTTGCCTTCTGATGTTATTTCTAGCAGCACATCACTTTTTCCTGCTCTTTCCCATAAAAGTAATGATGCTACTTAGGATATTCAGAGGTGACCTCATGTGCACAGGTGTAATTTTACTTTCAGGTTTTGTAAAGAACAGTGTGGCATCACTTTTCTAACAGGAAAGCTGGTAATTGTCAAATATTTAAAAATTAGCAGTGAAATTGCAGTTGGCAAGTCCTTGCAGTAGCAATATTCTATTTTTTTTCTTGTTGCTTATGCTAGTCTAGAACATGAGTGTCATAGGTTTGTTTTTTCCTCAGAGTATGGTGGCATGGGCTTGGACTTCTCCTATAACATTGCAGTGGCAGAAGAGCTGGGAAATATCCGCTGTGGAGGTATTCCTATGGCTATTGGAGTGCAAGCTGGCATGACTACTCCTGCTCTTACAAGGTAATTTTGTTTGTAATTAAGTTTGATTTAGCCTAGAACCCAAATCGTCACGTGTTCAGGCTTAAAACCCAATCTGTATAAGAGTAAGAAAAAACATTACTGTGCAGATTTATTGTCTAGTTGCTCTCCACTAAAGGTTGAGGAAGGAACCTACTCTCTAACTCTCTCAGGCAGTTTAGTTTAGGGCAGAAAATATATCTCTTTTTAATGTTCGAATATTATATATTTAAACATAAGCCTTCTTCAGTAGTAGACGATATGTTTACAAACACAGAACCTTGGTGCCAAAACCAATAAAATAATTTTAATTCCAGAATCCCCCTATTCATGTTTGTGTCTTTTCTTAGCCAGATTATCCCAGTGCAATCATACTAGGGATGCATTTACTTTTAATAATTAGGATCAATCTAATTCTATTTTATAATTTACTTGGTTTTTTCCAGCTTTACAAGGTGCTCCTCACTGACTGTGACTTTTCAGAAATAATGGTCAATATTGGTGTCATTCCTAAAGTTGTAGCACATCTATCATGCTTCCTAAATATGCCCATTCCAGGCAATTACTCATCTTGCTGCTTCTCATCTGCTTGTGTCAGTGTTCCCCTTTTATCGCTTGCTGTCATTCAGGCTCTTGCACTTTCTGAATCTGTTTTGGTTTTGGTTTTTTGTCCCTCAATAAAAGTGGCAGTAACCAACTTCTTCTTCATGTAGTAGTTTCACGGATGTTCAGCATCAAAACAGCAGCTTCCAAAACTAGAGGGAGGCAGCAAGCTGGTCCAGCAGTTTGCCCCTGGAATATGGATACACCTAAAACTCTGGAAGGTGGTGGTGGGGATTAAATTCAAATAATGATGAGGAAGTCAGGAATTTCTCTGCGTGAAACAGATATACAAGAGGGGAATTTCTGCACAGAAGGGCAATCATTCTAAAAGTTTTCTTCTCCTTTGTGTAATACACCAAAAGTTTGCTGAAAGCATGGAGTTCAGTATGTCTGTTGCAACAGTAGCTTGGTTATAGTCCAACTGAGAACAAAACTAGTATTTTAAAAGACTTCAGAGATTAGTACCTTGCCCTGTGATAGCCTTTTATTCCCAGGGTTTTTTTTAAAAAAAATATATATCTGTGGGTGAAAGAGGACAGGATTTTGTTCCATTGCAGTTTTTTGGCCTTCTGTTACTCTGTTCTGCTGTAGTGAAGCAACATACATTTGTGCTACTGAAATCCCAAAGTGGATGTTCTTGGAAAGTAAATGTGAAAATGTCATTAACATGATGAAATCTGTAGTTGGATTTGCATCTGTATTAGTGAATTTTTCCTCCACTGTTGAGTCCATTCCACTGACTAGTTATACAGTACAGTGTCCCACTCTTAAGATGTGAAAGTGAAACTTGGTAATGAAAAGAGAAAGCTGGTTGCTACAGGAAATTTTGCAGCTTTACTTTATGCAGTATAGTGAGAGGGCTGACTGCTTGTCCTGGGTCATGGATTCAAATTGCATTCACAATCTGGATGGTTTCTTTAAATGTATCTGTGTACTGTGGTGATCCTAAACAAGTTCGAAGAAGTAATCCAAATTTTGCATCTTAACTATGCATTGTTACACGTGATGCATCAGTGATGCACAAAGTAAACAGTAATATGGGAATCAACCATCATCCACTAAAAAACTTTTTAAAAAAGGCTGGAGCCCTTTGTCCACTTTCCTACCTTTGGGCTTTATTCAGCATTCATCAAGCATGTATTGAGTGCACCTGCAAACCAGCTCAGTGAATGTGATACGTCATGAAGATGCTCTTCCACTATAAATTAGAGATGTTCCCTCAATTAGATATATAGACAGCGTGGTAGTTTGAACAGATGGATGCATTTATGCACATGCACACACACACACAGAGCTTGTTAAATGTTCGTACTTCGGAAAAATAAAGTCTTAAAAGATCTAGAGTCAGGGTGCCTCCTGGTGCTGTTTCTGCAACTTCCATAGATTACTTGCTTCAGTGACAAGCTGTTGCCAGGCTTAGTTTGTGAAGATCTTTGAGACATTTAGTTAAATGGGAAGTACATTGTAGTAACAGTTTTAATCATATAAATAATGAATTTTGAAAATGTTACCTGTATCCGTTTGCCTGTTCACAGTTCCTGGCCCTTTTTACTTCTTTCTTTATAATTTTTTTTTTCCCCCGACCTTCAGAAAGTTATATTCATGGTCATACTTGGAAGCAACCCTGCAGATTTTGATTTATATGCATGTCTATTGTGCAGACAAATATAGGAAAAAACAGTTTTGTTTCACTTGAAGATGCCCAGATGCTCCATTTTTTCCCCAAATTCCTCTAAGTGAAGCTGTAGCACTTTCTAAATTTGAGAACTAAATGCAAAATGTTTTGTCAGCAGTGATCTGACCTTTGATGTACCTAGTTCTGAACATAACTCTCTGTCAGGTCTTTCAAATGCGTTCAGATATAATACATCATGTGCTTTCATGCTTACAAGTAGAGTGGGAAAAGCACGTCTCAGCTGAGGCAGTAAATGAGATACATTTCCCTGAGCTTATAGACAAACCTATAGGGTGACACATCCATAGTGGTACCAGATCAGTGTAGAGCTCCTTTATCTTGGCAGTAGGTAGTAAACTTTTCTTTTCTTTTTTTTTTTTTTTTCCTATTATTTATAGGAAAACAGTAAGAATAATTATGATTATTTAGTGGGAGGAGAGTGCTTCTCTATTTCATCAACTTACTCGTCACAGATTCTTTCTCCACCCTGAACAGCAGCGTATCTGAGAATTAATGTTGAAAAAAGTTAGGTTTACTATCTCTCTTCCCGTTTGCTTTAAAGGAGAGAAGCTGCAGCTGACAATCGGAACAGCAGTTTTGAAAAGCAGAATCATCCACTTGATCAGCTGGGAAAAGGGTGAAAATGGGAAGAGACCATTCAAGAGCTGAGTGGCGTTCCCACTGGCATAGCGTAGGGGAAGCTTGGTTTTGTGCTTTTTCAAGAACAGACATACTGAGTTGTCTTGCTGTCACATTTGGTACTTAATTTGTATAGTGCACATAAGGTAGGTCAGGTCTTGCCCTGAGCCAGAGCAGAGACAGGTGCGGCTTTCAACATATCGTTTAAAAAAGTATCATTAAGCATTGCTGTCGTGACGGCTAGTTGTGTTGCATCCATAGCCAGGTGTGCTGCTTTGTGGTTTTGAATACCTGTGAGGGTCTCACCTGGCCTGAGCAATATGGTGGGGCAATATGACATCAGGCAGCTGCTTCTGAACTAACTTTCCTCATAACAGCTTCACACTGTTGCTGTACCTTTGAGGTTTCTCCAGCTCCTGGTGACAGCCTGGCCGTGCTACGGTGGCAGGTTGTCTGGTGGGCAGCCTTGAGGCCTCCAGCGCTGGTGTGGTAGCAGCAGGACACCAGCCACGTGAGTAGCTGCATGATCTGAAGAGGGTAATCTTTAATCTAACTCCTCTTTTACAATATCTGCATTTTAGTGCAAAATGCATTGCTAAATAAATAGAAGATTGATGTAATCATTCTTAACCAAAACCCTTCAGGTAGTCTTATCTGCATGAGGTAGTCATACCCATCAGGTCATCTCATACAGGCTTCTCATCTGTATTCTTCTCAGAACATAGCAGTAGCTCGAACCGAGCAATTTATTTCATAAAATCTTCAAATAACTGAAGCTTAAAGGCTTGATAAAAACTGGGAGCCAGAGCACTTTTCTTATTCCTTTTTTTCTTATGCTGTCTTTCACAAAAGATAAATAAGTTTTCTAAATGCAGTTTTTTTAAACTCACATGTCGTCTTATCTTGACTGAAATAGAGACTCAAGGAGAGAAAGCTGATTGCAGTGTGGATTCTTTTAAATCCAGATTATGTAAATTACTGAACTTAATGAGGCTTCCATGCTACCCAAGGGTGCTTGCTGCTGTTCACTGTGCATTTCTAACCCTTTCTGTGCCTGTAAAGAGCATCTCTTCCCTTTTGGGTTTTTGTTCCTTCTTTTCCTGTATCTTGAAGATCCAAGGAGTACGCTAAGCTGGACCTGGACATCAGATGGTAGGATGCCTGCGCAGGACTACACTGAAGCAAAAGCGTGGGACATGGCCACTGCATTATTAATAGTCTGAGTCTAAGAGCAAAACACCAAAAAAAAATGGGAGAAATTTACCTTTTCCTAGTACGTAAGAAGGAAAGTGACAGTAGGTCAGAGTTACCCTCTTCTTTGCCCAAAGGAAATCTTTATGTTCCTAGGAAGTCCGTGAGTAAACTATTGTGTCATCTTTGAGATACTGTAGAGTAATGTATAGATCAGATGAGAACTTCTCTTTTTTTTTTTTTTTCCCCTGTGGTGGTGAATAGTGCTCAAATGTGTGAACTCCAGTGCAAGAAAGCTTGAGTTGGTCAAATACTGAGCTGTGTTAGAATTGTCTACAGCTGTTCATATTCAGAATTTCAGTTCGCACTTTATGTTGTATCATACTACTGTATCTGTCAGTTTTACTCAGAACTTTCCTTGCTAATTCACTTAATTCACTTCAGCCCAGCATTTTTTCCCAGAAGCAGTAGAAACAAAAGCGAACAAGATCTGCAGTTCTACCAAGATGATTATCAGCCCAATTAAGTCAGAGTAGTGATGTGCGATAGACATATTTTCATTCAATGTAGCAATCTAACCTGTCAGAAACCAGATTTTTATATATATTTGAGATGAATAAAGGTGACTTCCAATTTCTTACTGGCAGAGCATGTAAACAGAACTACGTGGATCCAGGAAGTGTTCTTACATCTGGATTTTTCCGTGGTTTTATTTTCCTTTTACCCACCGTTTACAAGATTCTATACCATTGTCATTTTTGTGTTTGTATTCATGACGTTCCACCAATGTTACTTATAAAAGGTGGAGGAAGAAAGGATGGACCACTTTCATGCAGCTCTTAATGTGTCAGAATCTCATGCTTGGGACTTCTGGGTTACCCAGCATCAACAAGGAGCTCCGGTTTATTGGCTGGAGACTCCTCTGTGTGTGTATACGTACACACATGCATGAAAATATATTGTAGAGAGATGCTAAGGCTGCATAGTTAATCACATGGGAAACTGTGCTCTGGGGTATGGCCCCAGCCCAGAAAGCAGACATACTCTCGTTTGTCATCAGCCAGAGCATGATCTCATTGCAAACAGAGTTTTCTAATTCCAGAGCTGTTAAACTGGAAAGAAAAGGGTATTGCATTTATGCAACCCTGAGATTTTTCTGGGATGCATTTAGGATGGGTAGAATTTTACAGAGAAAAACATATTTCTAACACAATAGCTAGCTGCTTGCTGAGCTGCCTGTCCTTCCTGCAAGGCGTAGAGACCACTACCTTCTGAAGGTAGTGTTGCCAGAATTTTTTTTTTTAATTGCAAAATAACTTCTGTAGCCTTATATTTGGGAAGAGCTGAACTCTTTTTCTGGAACAAACCAAACAAAGAAAGATATCAAACCAAAAACATTCTTCTGAGGAAAGATCTTGTCATGGGAATCCTCAGTTGAAATAACTAAAGGTTGGCAAAGTTTTAAGCATCAGAAAGCGTTGCCAAAAATCCCTGCTAGCTCCTCTCGTAATCTGGTTTTCATGTTGTTGGTTGGGTTTGGGTTTTTTTGTCTAATGAATGTTCAGCTGGCCGTACTTGATCATGTCCCAAGGAAAAACTAAAAAAAAAAAAGTACACTGCATAACAAACCAGGGGACTTTGTCCCAGTATGCTGGAGGAAGGAGTAAACAGTCCAAGCTTGCTTCTTGTATTTATTTGGGATTGCTGCTGCGATTATCAGCGAGGACAGGACTAGGAATTGAGCTCCCTGTGTGCACAAAGTGTCTGCCAGCTCCCAGTCTGTTCTCTGGCTGTCCCGTGCCCTTTGACTGTTTTGTTTCGGGGTTGGAGTGGAGGGGAAGGGTCAGTGTCTTAGCTAAAATGGCATCACTCCCTTGGAAGTACTGGGACAGTGTTTTAGGAGGAGGTCCCCAGTAAGTGCAGCCTGCTTAGGCAGCCAGTGAGCCTAAGGAGATGAGTGGAGATGCTGACCTGAGAAGCCTTGTACCGAAGAGGAGGCTGGGGAGGAACTTGACTTTCACGGATTTCTGCTCACAGAAGAGACATCTCATGACCCAAGGAATTTTTCAGTCTAGCACAAGAGAGGTTCAAGAACTGGACCATAAGCTCACCATTCACGCCGCAAGACCAAATCAGTGAATGTTAATTAGGACAAAATCAACCGTGAAATGAGGTGGACCATGTTTTGAATCGATGAAAGCAGCTAAATGTTGGAAAAAAAGAGGGTGCTCTTAACTGAATTGAAATCTGGCCAAGCAATTTTTTTGTGTTTAAATGCCATCAACAGTTTGCTGTTTACCTTTTTATTTTTGTAGGGACTAAAAGAACAGCTGGGAAGAAGCATTAATGGGTTTCACTGTGTGATTTAAATGCAGATATAAAATACTAATAATGTAAAAACAGATATTTGCAGAGGGTGGCCATCACATGTCATAACTTTTCAGTCACCACTAAAACCTGGCAAAGAACTGGTGCAAAAATCGGGTGTGCAGAGAGCAGGTCCTCTACTGTTCTGGCTGACTGCAGACTGATGCAGGAGCATTGAGGGGAAACCCCAGGGACCATGTTTGTTTAGTTCTGATAGCTCTCAAAGCAACGGTCATAAAGATCAGATTTGGGCGATCGAGACCACACGTTTCTGTGGGAGTAAGATGCCTGAATACTTGTAAAAACCTTGTTTAAAATCACTGTGACTGCATTTCTGGTGGAGGCTCTGAATCAGAGCTTTGGAGGGTATCTATTCTGCCTTTTGGCTCTGGCACAGGTTTTACCGGGTCATAGGAAAATTGATCACTGTGTGGGTAGAACAAAATTTCTACCTAACTTGTAAATAAAGTTTAGCTTCAAAAGCTTTTAATATCCTACCTTTCTCATTATATTGTTGCAGGTTTGGTTCTGATGAGTTGAAAAAACAGTTCCTCGTACCGACTATAGCTGGAGATTTAGTGGCTTGCTTGGGAATCAGCGAAGCTGGAGCTGGGTCAGATGTCGCAAGTAAGTTAACCTCGCAAATTGCCAATTTTAGACAGTCTGGTATTTTAATGGAAAGAATCTGGTTTCCCTGACCCTTCCCTTTGCCGCTATCATTTATAAGAAATGCAAAGGAAGGAAAGTCTGTTGTGGTAAGGGCAAAAAGTAATATTCCAGGAGCAGTAACGCATGCCTCCAGTGCATCCAAAAGCAATCAAATTGGATGTATTTGTCAGTGAATCAATAGCTATAACCCCATATAGGCTGAGCACAACAGATAAATATGCAGCTGTCATGTTGCCCCTGGATCTCTCCTAGTGTCTGTCCTGCTGCTGCTGCTGCCTCCTCTGGTCTCTCCAAGCTCACCACCGGCAGGGAGGACTCCAGCACCTCCTGTAGTTGCACAGCCACCGTCAGTTGTGCAAATCCACATACATACGTGACAGGAGGTGTGGCCCCTTCAACTGTACTAAAACTTGCACTTCCTTAAAACAGAACTGTCCACTGAACCTGGGCAAATTGCAGACCTAGTCCATTCTGAAAGTGATGGCACCACTTTCACAACCGGTTCCTTGCTCATTCTTACCTCACCTCAGCCCCTTCCAACGTTCCTGTGCAGCAAAAAAGTCTCTGAGCTGGCTGGTGATTGTTTTATTTAGAGCTAATGAAGAATTTGCCATGTCAAATCTATTAGCTTTGTGATTTAGTTACTTTGCATGCAACTATTTTTCTTGGTTTAGTGCAAGAATATGTTTAAGAACATGGACAAATGAAACTATTATTCTGAAGTGCCTGAGGCAGTAGATGATGTGAGCAATTAGATATTGTAGGAAAAGTGAAGTAAAAGATGTCTCATCTGACTGTGAATCGTGGACTTCAAGGAAAAGGAAATGACAAGAAATCACTTCTAAAGGTTTTGTTGTTGGACACAGGATGGCTAAGTTGAATACATTGTGCTCTTACAAATCACTGAGATTTTGTCTTCCTGCAGACAAAATCGCCAAGTTTGACAGAAGGTTTTTGATCAGCAGAGTCCTCTGTCCATCTCCTTGACCAAACTCGTGTTGTTTTCTCAAGACAAATAGATAATTATTCAGTGTTAGAGCAAGGGAGCAGCAGGTAGTTTTCAAGAGAGTTAACAGGGATAATGAAATAAGGGGACTAAATCTTCCTGTGTGATCCACTGCTGTTTCCTTTCCAGATAATTGATTTTGTTCATAAGAAAAAATCCATAATTTGTATAGACTTGTTTTTCATTAAAATGATTTGAAATTTGAATTTTGCTAATGTAGGAAATACAACATCATTTATTTTAATTAATGCCTCTCTAGTTTAATTAGATGATTATCAGAACTTTCGAAATATGATTTTAATTTTTTGATGCACTGTTCCAGCTAATAAGTAACATAAATATTCTTTTAGCTGCATGTTGTTTATCTTCTAGTTTAATTGGTATGATACGCTTGGATTAATACAGTTAAAGAGAAATTTGGAATCAACTAGGATTATCTGATGAACCCAGACTGCAGCTGGGAGGCAGACTGCAGGATAAAATGACAATACTTTTTCACCTGTCATGGAAGATCTGATCCCTGGTATAAATCCAGAAACCAGCTTACAATGGGTAATTAAATGGACAACTTAGACATAAGCAACAGTAGCTGATGTTCTCAGTAGCAGTGGTTTGCATGAGGCGGAGAGAACGTATCATCTCCCAGTGTCCCAGCTTTAAAGTAGACTGAACTGCATGAAACTGCACTTGATACTTCCTTCGGTTTCTCATGCTCTTGGGATGTTTGTCTCTCTTATCTAAGTGAGGTAAAGCATAGCAACTGTTCACATGTGAAGGCTGGAGATGTGCTTTTGCCATGTGAGCCAGTATATTTTAAAGTGAAGAATGATACCGAATAAGGTATGTCTAGCATTATTCTTCTGCCAGTTCCAAAATTACTGAAGGTGATGAGAACACAGAAGAAAAAAAAAGTGTTTCTCTACATAAGAAGTGAAAGGTGCCTGGAATTAATTTGTTTAAAACTCAACAGAACAAAAAGGACTGTGTGTACTAGTCTAATATAAATTTCAACTCAATCTGAAAAAGCAGCAGTCTGCTTTGAAAAGTAGTTGTATATTATACAGAGTATTCAAAACTAGCTCAGAGATGACTTAAGAAGCAGAACAGGCCAGAACAGTTGGTATAGAAAGTGTCTGTCTTTAATTTCAGGATTCTTGGTACCACAAAGCATACACATTTGTGTCAGTTTTAATGATTTCGTCTCATTCTATCTCACTGCTGTTCCAGAATTTATATGATGTTTTGCTGATAGTCTGTGGGGGATGTGTAAGAACACATCATGGAAGACACTTCCTCTTTCTTCAAGTTATGTCATCCAGGCAACTGCACCAAGTAACCCTGTTCATGTCTACCTTTTCAACATAGATATGTTGCCCCATTTCGTATCGGTGGAATCCAGTCTTTCTGCTTTTCTGGGTGTAGGTCATCTTTTTTTAAGCATGAAAACCCAAAATTGCACATGGTGTCTATAATGGCACAAATACTTCTCCAGCCCTAATAGAAATGTTACCTTCTGATATGTAATGTTACACAAGTTCGCTTGCTTGTGAATCCTGTGATGAACTATGGAGATCATCTTCATTAGGGATTTGCTATTGAAACATTGTAAGATACAGCAATCATTCTTACTACTTTGTGCCTAAGTACTTGCCCTATTGAATTTGAAAACTCAAGATCATTTCTTTCTTCCTAGGTGATAGCTCAGTTGTCTGTGTTGGTGATGTCTCCCAAGTTTGTGTCACCAGCAAATTTCATTAGTTTATTCCTATTCTTCTTTTAAAGATCATTAATGGAAATATTCAAGAGGTTTTGTCCAAAGGCTGATATCCAAGGAGGACCTCCAATAATACCCTTCCTGCACATCAGCACTTCCCCTTTTAATGCAACCTGATGCAATTTCCCTTTGGCCAAGTTCCTTACCCACATTTCCACTTCTGTCCTAATTCTTATCTTTTCAAAATTTTAACTCATAGTTACTTAGTGGCATCACTTCTAGTTTGCTTGGGTCCAACAGGATTTTTCCTGGTCTGCTTTTCTCTAGAAAATCCATTTTTGTAATAAACAAATCAGGTTGGTTTTAAATAAGATACCACTGGTAAACTGAATTATCTTTTCTTTCCAAATGTATTCTGAGGCTGTGCAGATTGCCAAACACAACAACCTCTATTTTCACTAACTTTAATTTCTGTACAGTCCTTCCTGTAGATGTTTTGCTTTGTCAGCTGTATTGTGTAATCTCATGTGAAATATTTCTTTAGTTTTGAGGCGTCCTCTATATGCCTCATGTTTTTTCTCATTCTCTCTTCATTTCTGTGTGTGAAACATTTTTGTTTGCCACCTCAATCTTCTTTGATTTTTTTGGTTTTCATCTGCAAAATTTATCTTAGGTTGACCCATGGCACTTTTTGCCGTCTGACCTCCGAACTGTAGCTTACTTTGATGATTAATCTCTTTCCTTGTCTGTAGGCCATCTCCTGTTTTTTGAAGTTATTATTCATTCAGTTAGACTTGAAGCTATTTTATGCAAGTTTTGGGTGGTTTTTTCCTGTGCTGATGATGTAAATTCCAGATACGTGTTCTTCATTTTTTACTTCAAGGATATGTGTTTGTCCTGGTTGAGGTAAAACAGAGCCTATCTTTGATTGTAATATTGACCTTAACAGTTGAAGCCAACTTTGCCTTTTGTCAAATCTACTTAGATGCATGGCTGGACTCAAGAGCACAGTGGAGAAGAAAACTTGAGGCTCAAGCATGTTGTGATTTGAATGATGAAGTGACCATCTCTGGTTGTTTCTATGGCACTAGCTGTATCATATGCCTTTTGACGATGCCCCGTGGCCTTTGCTAGAAGGGGCCCTCACACTGTGCTTTGTGAGTTGTTGAGTTATAGGCACTACAGGGGCAGTGGTGGGGACCTGCCAAAAAAAGAGCTATGGAGCACCCACAGAAGTAGGCTTTTCCCAGAGCTGTGCTCTATCAGGGAGAATAAGTACAGTCAGTTATTCCAAATTATCTTCATAGCCATATCCCTGAGACTGAGTCCGCTTGACTTTAGTAAATTGTTAAGTAGGTTTTCAAAGCCTGCTGTATTTTAAACGTAAAACTTACTTACTGACTTGGTCATCTTTCTTCTAATTAAAGTGAAAGAGAATCAACTCTTCATAAGTTGATGTTAAATAGTCATTTCTCAAGTGTTTGAAGCAAACTGTCAACCATCACATCTGGGAGTACTTGAACATTCTCATTAGTAAGGCATTTATTCTGTAATCTGTATTTGGGTGGTTAGTCCACTGTGACGCCATGCTTGCAAGAACTGTTTACATTTGTAATAACATCACAGTGCTCATTGTTCCTCTGCAGACCTTCCGTGGGACCTCTATCTAATCTCTTCAGTAGCTGTTCCACAACAGAGAGATGTGTGATGTAAGTCACTATGTATGCTCCCATCCTTTTCACAGTACTTCAGTACAGAGTCTTATTTCTTATTCTGGCTCTTGTGTGTCCTTCATTTATTATTTAGTCTCCATGTGTATGATTGTCCAGTGTCTGCGTCCATGTATTATGAGCATCAGTACTTTAGATTCCTTCAGTTTGTTGGCCTTCAGTAGTATACAGATTTCATATCAAGTCCCTTGAACAGATTTGGCATAGTCCTTTCATTGACTGAATAGCTATATGGCTACTGTTTTTATTCACGGTAGTACTATCTGTTTCCCTTGCTGTTTTTCATTATCTGCTTGTAAGTTCCTTTAGCCATAGCTATATCTGATATTCCCTTGTCTTATACCTTGCACAATTTTCTCCCATCATGTTCCCCCAGTTTCTTCATTAACAAGACTTCTTTTCATCCATGCTGTCCTCAGTCCCAGTTTACCTTGTAAGTGAAGATCAGCTACTTGGGTTTGCTTTGGTTTTTTAGAGCCTTTGGGAAGAAGGTTCAAGTGCAGATTGAGGTGGGTGTGTATGAAGGTATAACCAGCTGACTTCAATGTGTCTGCCCACTCCACTTGGTGTCTGACTCCTACCCTCCAAAGTCTACTGCCTCCCTCAGTAGGTGGGCTCATATGAACTTTATAGTCTCATGAGATTTACAGGTGCTGTTAGGGGTGTGGTAGGGTTCTCTTATACCATCACCTACTTGTAGCTAGATACCTGTTGGAAAGTCTTTCTCAGTTGGGGTTTTAGTTGAAGAAGTTCAGTTGCAGGGGAAAGCAGCCAGCTCTCTGGAAATTCTGCTGGAGTGTAAATAATAACTAATGATTCACTCAGGCTGTCTGTTGCAGCTAGTGCTGCTTGCAGCGTGATGTGAACACTCACGGATGAAAATTAGATTGTTTTTTTTGCCAGGGGGTATAAATAGCAGGTGTTTAGAACTCCTTTATGTACAGACATTCTTAGCATTTAGACTTAGCCTTTCAAAAGTTTACTAGCTTTGGATTTATTACACCATTCTGACCAAGAATGTGCAGGAAGTGCGTGTATGTATATCTTTATGCATACACAGATATTGAGGCTTATGTTTGTTTAAGTCAGGACTCTGAAATTAATGGCCTCCTCAATGAATAACCTGCACAGTAACAGAAATGCGTAATAGGTTACCTCAGGCTGAAATGTTTCTGCCCCGAGTGTTTGACGACCAAATTTGCTTAGGGAAAATTTTCTGCCTTCATCCACTGGGATGAAGACTCCACCTAAAGGAGGGTGAGAGAAGTGGTCTGAGTTCCCTGGCTCACCTTCCAAGAGTTGTCCAGACGGGTCTGCCTTGAGGAGCCTGGAAGGGTGAGAGGACTTGGGGGTATGTAGGGAGAACCAGATACTAGTTGTCTGTCTGAGAGCAAGGGAGTGACTCTGCCAGTCGTACAGGGATCAGCTTATCCCTCCTTCACAAGAATAACCCTTCATTTCCTGTGTTTTGAAATAGATATCAAGACGACAGCTGTGAGAAAAGGCGATGAATATGTCATAAATGGTGGTAAGATGTGGACTACGTCTGGGTGCCAAGCGGACTGGATGTGCCTGCTGGCAAACACCAGTGAAGGACCTCCCCATCGAAATAAATCTCTCATATGCCTGCCAATGAATCTACCTGGTAATAACACAGAACTCTTTCTCTTCTAATTTGATTGTATTGGTGTTTCTGTGTACGCCTAATACAAGAAGGAAAGGTATTTGACAGAAAGGACTACACCCATAAATGCTTTTCTAAGTTAGGTGTTTCACTGTCACACAAAGTTGGTTCTGAAATGCACACTTCCACAAAAAAAGTAGGGGACAAGAAGGAACAAGAAGGAAGTTAAATATTTTGCAGACTTCAGCTTGTGACTCCCAAACGATTTTATATGGAGAGTACTTTTTTGCCAAAAATAAATTTATAAAAATTGTTCAGAAACATTTGCACTGGAATATTTCATAACCTTCTGTGAGAACAAATAGGCAAGTCAATGCCAAAGACAAAAGTAATGCCTCAAAGAAATCGTTAAAAATAGAGCCAACATTTTTTTGAAAGTTTTAACATCTAGCGTCTTTTAGTTTTGGAGAAGTTCCACAAAACTTTTATCTTGGATTTCTGTCCCCAGAAGGCATGGAGATGCAAACAGTCTGCAAAATAAATAACATATTACTCTATTTGTATAGATCTTTGCTATATATGAACTATATGTAAAATGTTCTTAAATTATCTTTCCAAAATAGTGTTAGACTCCTTCCTGTTTTGTATGAGGACTGGTGAACAGAATATATACTTCTTTTTCACTGAATGGATGAGTATTTTTAAGCTTGCTGTCTTATTTCTTTAGAAAATATTGAAAGTGATTCTCAAACGTGAAAATAAAAGGATAAAGAGTTTAGATATTTCAAACTTGGGAAATGATGGGAAATACCTTCCAAAACAATCTTATCCCACATGCCAACACCTGCCTCGCAAGAGCCTATGTGCAGTATCTGACTCCATTAGTGTGTGTTTACTGACCAGCTGTATTGAATCTTAGAAGGATGCAATGCTGTGCTGTGATTGTATTGGGTGGATGGTCTTGATCTTCCTCTGATAACCATCTTCCACCACCCAACCTGGTGGGCTTGCTGAAGAGAAGTGTAGGTATACCCAGAGTGCTTCATGCTATGCTCTGCAAAAGGATCTTTTTGCCAGGGCACTGCTATCATTTAAATCAGTTTAAATTACAAAAACAGTCTGCGAGTTAAATGTGGGCTGAAGAGAAAGCTTCAAAGATCTTGGAAGTAGGGATTTGGTTTTGAAGACGACTAGTAATTTGGGTGAAGACACTGAAAAAATACATCCTGATCTAAGGGTACAAGTTTCAGCGGTACAGCCCACACGGTGTCTGTTCCTGTTCCTGAGTAGTCTGCAGACCTTGCAGCAGTAATGTGCTGTATGCATAAAGGACATCGTTCAGAGAGGATACAGTTAAGGTTATGTTGGCGAGGACCTTTTGCAGTTTTAACACCTGCTCAACATTTTTTAAACATTTTTGGTTTTCACTTATTTGAATATTTTTTAAAGTGTAATATATTAATTTATTTAAAAGTTTAATATAGTTAACACATATTTTAAATATATAATATATATACTGTATAATAATGTATTTATATATTAATATAAAACAGTAAAGCCTATTCCTTTTTTTTTCATCCAATTCAGTTTTTGACATACAAAATACATGTCATTGTCAGCATTTCCCATGTGGGGACACGACCATAGCAGTGAAGTGCAGGTCTGTACGTTCACTTAATGGATCAGATTGAGAACAAAAACCAGGTCTGCAATGCTGCATAAGAGGGTGGTGAGAGTACTTAAGGGAATGTCTTGTAGGTGAATTTCAGTATGGAGTAAGTCAAGCAAGTGAGTGAGTTGCATTGGGAATTAAGCGAGTTCTGAGTGGGTTGTTCTACAACCTCTGCTCATGCAAAACAGGCTTTGAATGGGAGCTCACAAAAGACGGACCTGAGCTGCTTCACTAGTTGTTGACTTTGTCTTTATGGATAAGTGACGAGTGAACATGGAACTCAGAGCCAGAATCTCCCTGAATTTCCAGGTAAACTCACTTATCAGCCATCTGCATGAAGTCCTCCTTGTGATTTTTCATGAAAGGGTCAGAGTACAAGTGCAATACTACTTCTCTGAGATCAGTTTTCCAAAACCTACAAAGCAGCCAACCCACTGTTAGAGGCAAATTAAATATACAGAAATTGACTTTGAGGTTTCAGCTACATTGCTTATTCCAAAAAGACATTGTAGCTTTAAGGGTGGGTGTTCTTTACCTGCAGTAAACAGATTTTGAGTAGAAAAATTGCCTGAGTCACCTGAAGCTGATCTGCAGAAATGTAGAAGTCTTCCTAGAAACAAAAGTTGCACTCCTCAAAGTATATATGATTTCATTCTTCTGTGTGATACAGATACTGACCTCCAAAAGGGTCACTGTACCAAGACTGGTGGCCTTTTGAAATGAAGTGTTAAGACGGTTCATTGTGCTCAGTGGGTGGGTCATATCAGAAATGAGATTTTTCAAGAAGACAAAGAGGAAAAGTATGAAAAAGGCTGCCATTTGACACAGATGTGAGGAGGAAGCTCCAGCTGTTCTGATACATCCTTAGGATGTCTGTCTGCCAAAGATTGTGCTCCTTGGAGGGCAGCAGACCAAGACTGTACGGGAAGTGTCTAGAGGACATCACTGAATGATGCACTATCAAGTGTCTGTAGATGTATGTGTGTCAAAGCTCAAGAACGAGTGCAATGGAGAATGAGTGTGTTACGTCTGACTAACTGCTGTAGTCTCCAGTCTATATGGCAGGGTAGGAAGGGGTCCGTGGCACAGCGGTAACTCGTTCCTTGCTAGCAGCTGGGAGGACATGGGAGAGTAGTCCAGCATTTTTCGCAAAACTCTTAATTGTTTCATACTTGTATAATGTGGTGATAAGAAAAAAAAAAAGTTCTAAGTCTGAAAGCAAATTACTAACTTCAACAACAAGTAGTTTCCTGGAGATACGGAGTAGGATTTGCTTCTTCCAATTTTAGGTGTGTGCAGTGTCTATTCTGGGGTGAAGCAAATCATGGTCTAGATTAGCCAGACACTGATGAATACATTTCTCATAAAGGGATTTTGGATAATGGCAGTGTGAATTCACAGTAGATGTCCAAATTAGGTGAAAACTCATGCTAATGGTGTCTTAAAAAAAAAAAAAAAGCTGAATTTCTCATATGATGAAAGACAATCTAACAAGTCGTAAAATGTCTGTGTGTGAGATTTATAGACAAATGGCTTGCAGCCCTAATCTGGTAACTATTTGTGCGCTGGTTTGTCCTCTGAGTCCTCAGATAGTGCTAGGGTAGGTTGCAAGGAGATAACAGAGTGAAGAGCATCCAGGAAAGGGGAAAGAACACGTTTCTTAGGTTGCAGTTTAAAATCTGCCTCTTTCCATTTGTAATGGCACTAAATGGTGTCAAGAGCGAGTGACTGCCTTTCTCTCAAGATAGAATGTAGGAAATAAAAGAGATTGTCAGAAGGCTGGAGGAGTGGGAGAAAATGAAAAAATCAAAGACCTCTGGGAAGAACTGCCCAGGAAGAGATATAGCAATCTATCTCAGTGGTACTGGTGCAGGTAGCACAAATGGCTCTGTTAGAGTCATTTTAGTAAGTCAGGCACTTGGCCTTACTAGACTGAGATTTATGTGTTACTGGATGGCTTGTGATTTATTTAATACAGACAAACTCCAGGAGTTGTCTGGGCAGATGATTTCTACTGCTGCTGGTAATTTTTAGCATATAGTGCCCCTTATGAAGAGAATTAAGATAATTAAACTAAGTAAAGGAAGATTTTGATGCCCATATTGCAGCCGAAGAGTTGATGATGTATCATTGCGTTCAAAGAAGAGAAAATGTAGAGTGTTTGCTAGCAACAGAAAGAGCACGACATGAGGCTGATGCTGTTTGACCTCCCTTCTGAATGAGAAACTTGAAGTAATCTAAGAGAAAGTGAAACTGGTAAAGTACAACAAAGGGGGGATACTGCTGGATTCAGGAAATTTGAACACACAGCCCAACCTGGAAGAAGTATGGATGGAAATCATTAACACATTTAGCTCCTCTAACCAAACCTGTAAGAGCTTTCTTGAACAGTTGTTGTATGTGCACCTGGGGATGTACACAACATGATTGATTTAGCAATATAAAGAACTAGCAGCAGTTGTACTTTTTCCACTGGAGCCCTTAGTAAACCACCCACTAACAAGACCAGGAAGTCCATCTTCGCATGGGTGAGGAGCAGTGATTGCATAAAACCAGCTGGAAGTAGACCGAAGATGTGATCTCTGAGACTCTCAAAGAAGCCAAGTAGTGATATTTCAACAGGAAAAGATGTTCCAGAAATCATTTGGGCTTGTAAATGGTTCAGTGTGTGTTTGTTTAGCTCTGAGTTTAATACAGAAACAAACCACAAACACTTTTTTGGAACGACTGGGTGCAAATTGCTGGATAATTTTCAATCCAAGAGTCAAAAATTTTTATCCAGCTGTCCTGATTTTCTTCCTGCGTTGAACACATATCAAAGCAAGCATTCCTAACACATAATCTGTTTATAGATTGGCTGGTGGAGAAAAATACTGATTGGAAGGTGTGGAAGTCTATGTGGACCTTATTCTGAGACCAGTCTTGGCATTTGGAAATAGTGTCAGTATTTCATCTCTGTGGAGAGATTAAACTTGCTATAACCTTATTCAATGCAGCCAGAGAGAGTGAATTTGAAGGGAACGACTGCCAACTTCTTCTGCCTGCAGAACCAAAGTAATTTTCACATGGCTGAAGGCCTCCTGTCAGTAGAAGTTGAGATGTCTATATTAGTTCAGAAAGAGATATTCACTGAAAGCCACAAAGGATAGCAAGGTACAGACAAGTACAGAGAGAGACCACAGCAATCTGTCTGGTGACCAACTCCTACCAAGCTGTGTTAAGGAGTAGTAGAGGATTGAAAAAAAAAAAATAGACTAACGAGGAAAACATTACCAGAATACCTCCTCATAACAAAACTGGTTAGAATACTATGTATGTGGGTGGTAAAATGTTTAGTTTTCTGCAAAGACATATATGCTGATTTGGAGGACCATTTTTCTATGTATATTGACTTATCAGATGCAATCAGCATGTTTTGCACAAATCCTCATACCTCGTTGTTGGTGTTGGTTTACCTCTGAAACATTCTTGACTTCCATCCTGAATATTTGCATTAGCCCCAGAGCAACAAGGAGGTAAAAAACAAAAAAAATATCAGTGTATGTCTGGTAAACTCTCATGGAACAGTGGTAAACCATGCTTGTATCTGAACAATAGCAAGAGAAGAATAGTAGCTAGGAAAAAGCAAATGACAAGAAGGAGTCCTACCTGGTGTGTCTTGGTGTCTGAAGTCTTACATGGCCAAACCTGAAGGAACCAGGTTCGTCTCCAACAGACCATTGCATGTGGGGTCAGAGGCAGTGCTGTGTAGGGAGGTCTGTGGGGAAGCAAACCCTCTTCACAAGCATGTCCCCATGAAAACTCAGAGGAATGAATTATGATCATTGTGAACCCTTCTATGACTACTTAGATGAACTATACTGTATTTTGTAGGCCATCATAAAATACATAATTTTAACAAAATTTGAAGTTGATATGGAATTGTTGTACGGGTATAGCAGTTATGAATTTGAGTCTAACTCTTCATTATTAGGAAAAAGTGATGTGGTGTGATTATAAACTCCCTCTTCTACAGGATAGGCTAGGAAGAGGAGGATAAATGTGAAAGAGAGGAAAGGAAGAGGATTTCCAGGAGGAAAAATTCTCTAGTTGCATCTTAAAACATAGCTCTGCTTTTGTCATTATTAAGTATTTCTCTACTGTTTCATAGCGGTGCAGGCACTCAGCAAATACTGCTAAATTGCATTCCTGAATTTTATTATAGTGCACTAAAAATCAAACATAAGCAAATAAATATTGCCCTGTTTCAAGACGTGGATGAAGTAAGATTATTACTACTAGTAAACATTTATTATTTGGGGACATAATGAAAAGTCGCACCTTTACAATTGCAGTGTCTGATTTGCTAGTTAAATAACATGGAAAAACTCTTAAAAATAGGATGTGGGCCATTTTACTCTTAAATTCCAGAATACTGTTATGTTTTTCCTAAAGTTAGATTTCACTGTAGTCTTAGCAAATACCTTCACATCTGCAAACTTTGCTTTCTTAAAATGCTGTACTTGTACATAGAGCTTCTATTTGTTGTGGCCTTTCTAATACCCCTTTTTCTTCAGGCGTTCATGTTGCTAAAAAGATAGATAAACTGGGCATGAGGTCATCGGATACAGCTCAGATCTTTTTTGAAGATGTAAGGGTCCCCAGCAAAAACCTCATCGGTGAGGAAGGAAAGGGTTTTACGTATCAGATGTTGCAATTCCAAGAAGAGCGGCTGTGGGGAGTAGCCACTGGTAAGTCATCGTTCATGCTTCTGGGGCTGGGCAGGGACACAGGGGTCACCCTTCACATGAATAACAGCACTTTCCTTTTATTGTAAATTGCAATGAACTCTTACGATCTGTTTTTGAAAGACAACCTTCCATTTTTGTTGAAAATATTGAAATAGAAAATATTTTGTGAGGCATCCCAGAGGTTGGTTTTGCCTTGTTTCTTTCTCTTGGTACTTTTCTGATTCAGCATCATTTTATGTCTGCTCCAAATATAGTACAAAGGCTATGAAAATCCTGGCATGAAATAGAAGGATGGTGACTCTTCCTTTGGTACAGTAAACTATGATGTTTATCCTGGATTTTAGAAAATTAACTTAGTGACTGTGTAAAGATGTGACTCTTACAGGATGTAAGAGCTTTGTTTTGTGGATCTGTTTTACCTCTGCACACTTTGGACGTAAGTGGTACAGCACCAAATTATGGTGAAGTTATGCTGTCAGAGTTCCTGTTGCTGTGAACTCAGGCTGTACTCTTAATCCACATATTTGAGTTCCATGGATTCTGGATATTCCAGGTAACCAGATCCACGTCTGGATTGTCTATTATCGGCCTCCCAACCTTCCCCCCCTTCCCACAGTGTTTGTTTCTTCAACTTAAATATGATGTGGTTCACTTTAAGAAGATTGGCCCTTTTTAAATTTCAGGGTTGTGTAAATAGTCTCATCATAGTCGTGCTCCTCTGCATACCCTGTCTGTTACTGTCTGCATATAGTGGCTGGGGAATCAGGAACTCCGAGAAGTGATTTTCTGATTCAGTGACCAAATAAAAAAATCACTCCCTGTTGTGGGTTGATCCCAGACCAAATATTTTAAAGTTCAGACGCTTTAAAAAATCTTTGGTTTTGGCCAAGGCTCTTAGTTCAGCCTGAGATAAATAGAAAATGTGGGAGCAGTTTTAGCAAAGAATAGGAGGTTAGGCTTGTAAAGGATGCCACTGCCAGCTCAGGCAAGGAGGAGACATGGTCCTAGTGCTGGTCCTGCTTCAATCAAAGCATACACAGATTGCAAGGACGTGCATTGTGCATTTTTGTGCTCAGTTTGAAGTCTAAGTTAAACAACACAGTCAGAAATGTTGGGTTGCAGTGATAGTCCCTAAGCAGCAGAGCAGCCCACGGTATATTAGTCATGCTCCAGGCAAAAGTGACGTGCACTGACAGCATCCAAACACAAAGCCTGGCAGGTTGGATCACTCCTGTTAAAACCACTGGCAGCTTGGTACTGTCCAGCCTTGCACAACTGCCCAGCAGCCACCGTGCTCTGCCAGGAAATGGGACACTGGGTTTCAATTCTTCTTTTTGCCCAGCACAACACAGCGGGAGCTGGCAAACCCTTGCACTGGATGAGCAGTCCAGGAAGGGCACCTTTGCTCCCCCTGCCATGGCCAGGCAGGGGCCATCAGGGAGGACTCACAGAATCACAGAGTGGTAGGGGTTGGAAGGAACCTTTGGAGATCATGTAGTCCAACCCCCCTGCCAAAGCAGGTTCACCTACAGCAGGTTGCACAGGACTGCATCTAGGCAAGTTTTGAATATCTCCAGAGAAGGAGACTCCACAGTCTCTCTGGGCAGCCTGCGCCAGTGCTCTGTCACCCTCAAAGTAAAGTTTTTCCTCATGTTGAGATGGAGTTTCCTGTATTCCAGCTTATGCCCATTGCCCCTTGTCCTCTTGCTGGGCACCACTGAAAAGAGTCTGGCCCCATCCTCTTGACACCCACCCTTTAGATATTTATAAGCATTGATGAGATTCCCTCTCAGTCTTCTCTTCTCCGGGCAAAACACACCAAGGTCTCTCAGCCTTTCCTCATAAGAGAGGTGCTCCAGTCCCTTGATCATCTTTGTAGCCCTCTGCTGGACTTTCTCCAGTAGATCCCTGTCCTTCTTGCACTAGGGAGCCCAGAACTGGGCACAGTACTCCAGATGTGGCCTCTCCACGGCAGAGTAGAGGGCGAGGATGACATCCCTCGCCCTGCTAGCCACGCTCTTTTTAATACACCCCAGGAGACCATTGGCCTTCTTGGCTACATTGCTGCCTCATGGGCAACTAGTTGTCCACCAGGACTCCCAGGTCTCTTTCTGCAGAGCTGCTTTCCAGCAGGTCAACCCCTAACCTGTACCAGTGTATGGGGTTATTCCTCCCTAGGTGCAGGAAGAGCCGTGGAGCTCGCTAAGGGAGAGGGAGCTGCCTTCTGCAGCACAGCAGCTGACCTTCCTGGGCCCCCTGGTTTTGCTTTTATCCACTGTCTGATATAAAATGCATGAAAGCACTGGGAGCAGGGACAAGACTCAAGGTTTGAGCCAAGTTTCAAACTTCAGAGGTAACCAGTTGTGGTAAACAAGAAAAAAGAGTAACTGATGTTCAGAAGGGAGTCAGGTGCTTGATGGACTTGATGGACGCAGTTTGTTACACCAGGATATCTAGCTCTTAACTTGCAGTCCTTCAAACGGTTTTAGCTATGTCCAACCACAAGTGTTTTGCTGAAGGCTCAGATGTGCAAAACTATGTACATGCCTTCAGTAGTTTTGTGATGAGGTCTGCATGCGTAATCCTAGTCCTCACTTCTGGCCTTTAGAAGGATGTTTCTGTACCTCCCCAGTTCATGACTATTCATGTGACATTGAAAATCATCAATCTGCTTTTAAACACTTCAGGGACTAGTCCTGGCAAGCTCACTTTCACTGCTTCCTAGAATTTGGAAGAAGCAGTTGACTGCCATTCTTTTCTTTCTTTCCTTTTTGGACATTGTTTTGTTGTGTTGTGTTTGGGGGTTGTGGGGTTTTTTTGTTTGTTTTGGTTTGTTATTATGTATTTTTAGTATCAAGTATCATGTGCTCTAGCCTTCTCTTTGTTTATTAATTATCTTCTTTGTGGCCAGATTTCAGAAAGTGTGGGGAGTTTCCTTCCTTCTTCACCTGTTTTTTTTTTTTCCTTTTAAAATGAATTTTCAAACAAATTTAAAATATATATGTAAAACTAATTTCCTGGAATTGCAAAATTTGGTCACAGGTGTGGTCTTTTCTTCCAAGTGACGCATTATCAAAGGTATTGAAGAAGAGAAGAGCTGCCACATATCTTTCCCATATTGTGACACTCGGTAAACACCATCCATTTGTGGACCTGTTGCACTGATCACAGGAAAAGAATGTTGCTATGGCAAGAAGGCAAACAGTTTTTTTGTGAATTGCTTAACTTGGATGCAAAGAGGAGGGAGTTCAGTGTGTGTGAGAGAGCAGAATGGCACTTTTCTAATGACTTCTATCTGCTCCTGTAGTCTCAGTGTTCTGAGCACCATTGAGTCATGGCCAGTAAGCAGGATGACAGAACCTTTTGCATGGGCAATGCACGTCCTTAAGAGAGCGATTGCTCAGCTTGGAGCTCACTGTACATCTCACTAGAGAGTGATCAGCCACAGCGGAAGAAAAAATACCTTAATTTCCTTTTGTTTTGAGAGGAGATGTAGCAAGGCAAAATGCGTTTTCAGTGAGCGGAAGTTTCAAGTGGAAAAATATAAGTTGGATGGAGGTATGAGGAAAAGATTATTCTGCATCTGGCAACTTCAAGTGCTTTCACAATTCTCAGCTGTGTGGTAGACCCTGCGTTCCTTAGGCTGCCCTAGAGTGACATTTCCTGTATGTGTTGTCAGTTGAAACCCATGGGGCCAAGTTTGTCTGAGGGTGTGGAGAACACTGTATGACAGAAGAGGAAACAAATACATGGGGTGGGGGCGGCGGGGAAAAGTTCAGAGAGAAAATGAGTTTCACTGTTAAGAATGGCATTTCTCTGAACTTACATGACTGGCAAAGTATTGTGTGCTGTTATGTTGTACAAGGCTGTTGGCAGTCGTGATATTCACAACATGCTGCATTTTGTTGCTGTTTGCTGCACAGCTACGCTTTGCTGTGTTAGAGCTGTGCTCATAGCTCTAAATACCTGTAGTCATAGCATCACAGAATGGGTTGGGTGGGAAGGCACCTTTAAAGATCATCTAGTTCAACCCCATTCCATGAGCAGGGACATCTTTCACTAGATCAGGTGCTTATAGCCTCATACAACCTGACCTTGAACACTTCCAGGGATGGGGTATCCCACAGCTTCTCTGGGCAGCCTAGTCCAGTGCCTCACTGCCCTCATCATAAAGAATTTCTTAGAACCATAGAATCATAGAATGGTTTGGGTTGGAAAGGACCTTAGAGATCATCTAGTTCCAATCCCAAAACATTATTGCTTATGTTCAATCTAAATCTACTCTCTTTCAGTTTAAAACTGGTGGCCCTTGTATTGTCACTTCAAGCTCTAGTAAAAAGTCTCTCTCCGTCTTTCTAAGTCCCCTTTATATATTGAAAGGCTGCAACAAGGTCTCCCTGGAGCTTTCTCTTCTTCAGTCTGAACAACCCCAACTGTCTCAGCCTGTCTTCATAGGAGAGGTGCTCCAGTCCTCTGATCATCTTCGTGGCCCTCCTCTAGATCTACTCCAACAGGTCCATGTTTTTCCTATGATGAGCACTCTGGAGCTGGACGCAGTACTCCAGAGGGAGTTCACCAGAGTAGACAGGAGGATGGATCAGCTGGAGCAGGAAGGAGGCAAAGAGGCGGATGCTGTCAGAGCAGTTTTCTCAGGCTCCCCACTCCCAGCCCTGATGCATGGTGACAGCCTGAGCAGAGATGGGCCAAAACCCCTTCATGACCTTCAGCCCTTTTTGCCAGCAGGACGTAAATAGGTGCTGTTCTGTTCCTTTCCACCTGGTCCTGCTCCTGCCTCCTCTTTGCTCTTTCCTGTCTCTTCTTTCCCTGGTGCTGGATGCTGGGAACCACACGAGCCGTGCTGGAGCACCATGCTCAGACACACCAACACAAACTAATCCCTGGTCCTTATCCCTCCCACCTCCCTTCTGCTTTCCTAGAGCTGGCATGTGCTGTTTAGTTTCTCTCCCAGCAGCTCAGACTCAGCTCTATGCTTCCCAGGTATCAGTTTGGGGGCAAGGGACAAGAGGGCCCTAGATGCTTCTTGCTCTTTCTTTAGCATTTCTCAAGCTGGAGACCATAAACGTACAAGTGAAAAAGCTGTTAGTGTTACACACGCTACAGCGTTGTGTTACATGGTCCTTTGGAAGAACAGGGATGTTCCTCTGTACAAGAGATAACCCTAAAAACAGCAATTTATTTTCCTGTCCAGAAAACCAGCATTAACGTGGCAGCATAGTGGGGGCACTTGGTGGGATGCAGAGGCTGCATATGAGAGCAATATAGGGATGAAGTTTAAATAGAGGTGATCTTGAAAGTGATGTAAAAAGGAATATGGAAGCACACCAGGCTCATGTAAGGACCTGTCGTGTGAGTAACTGGCAGATGGGAAAAGGGATTTTGTCATAGTCCAGGGCTTGGTTGTATTTTGCACTTCCGATTCAGAGTTTTGTGGTTTAGATTCTACATGTGAATGGATGTGGATATGCATATTTTGAAAAGAGAATATGTGACCTTTCTCATACAGCTGGACTTTTGAACTCTCTCCCTCTCTGTACTGCTTGCCATAGTGACATCGGTCCACATTTACCAAACAAAATTCTCCACAGATTCAGCACCTGCTGTTATTATTATTACTGTCTTGCTAAACTGGAAGAGACTGATAGCCTACCCCTTCACTTCAAGGCTGGTTTGCCTTGGAAAAAAACCTTTTCCCTTTTCGTCTTGTTTAAAACAGGGTATCTCCAAGTTTGCTAAAAAAGTAGCAGCAAACTAGTTCTCTTGCTTTAAAGCAGTGTCTGCCATCTCTCTCACCTGTCTTCCAGCAGTATCCTATTTTCAGTCTGGTTCCATTAGAGGCACTGTTTAGCATTTACTAAAAGCGGCTGTGACTCTTAATGTCTTTCCCTCCCTTTCTATACTGGGATCTGATCACAGACGTAGTAAGCAGTCTGTTGTGTTCCTTGATCTCTGCAAAGGTTTCTGCCTTCTCCCTGAAAGCTTCCTTGAATTTACATTTCTACAGCATTGCTCAGTGAGCACACTGTCTGCCTTCACGTTGTCTTTCGGGATTCTAACAGACCTTCAGGACACAGGTATTATGGAAAGCAGGAGTTGCCACAAGCTTTTGCTAGGGCGCCAAATGAGGCATTAAGGATAAAGGTTACATACTCATCATTGCATACTGCTCTCTATGACTTTCCTTCCCTCCTCCCCACCCCCCTTCGCTCTCCTCCAAGTTTTGGCAGTTTGGGGCTTAGGTGAAATAGGGATAAAGAGGTCTTCAAGGTACAAGGAAATACCAGACTTTTTTTTTTTTTTCAGAATTGAAACTGCACCCCAAACTGAGCCTGTGGAATAATTTACTTTAGAAAGCCTACTGTATTGTTTGTACAATGTGAAAAAAGATCTTTTTCAACAAGTAGAAAAAGAACAAATCTGGCTAAAATGACGTCTTGTTCCGTGCTTTGCTTCTTCAAGTCCTGACACCGCTGGAAACTGTAATACAAGAAACTATTGACTACACTCGCCAGCGGAAACTGTTTGACCAGTCCGTCCTGCACAACCAAGCCGTGCACTACCGCCTGGCCGAGCTGGCAACCGAAGTGGAGCTCCTGCGCTCGCTGCTGTACCGCACCGTTGGTGAGCTCCCACATCTGCCTTCCCAGATGTGCTTCTCTTTGTGCAAAGAACATCGTCAGGCTAAAGGAACATGGGGAGGTGCTTGTCAGAGAGGCAGGCTGTGATCAGTGACTCTGTGTGTGTAACTGTGCTTTTTTATTTCTTTTTGATTATTTTTTTTAGCTCTCTATGTGGAAGGCAATGATGTGACAAAATTTGCTTCCATGGCTAAGCTAAAGGCAGGTCGTCTGGCCCGTGAAGTGACTGATAGCTGTCTCCAGTTTTGGGGAGGAATGGGATTCACCAGCGAGGTTCTGGTGAGCAGGTTTTACAGGTAAGCAAGTGAGTGGTGAAAGTAGGAAATGGCTTTACTGAAATTTGGCCTCTTAAAGGTCCCACTAAAAGATCACCCAGTGGAAAAGAGCACCAGCACCTAGCCGGTGTGAATTGTACTGTTCCACTGAATGGCATGTCGCTGATGTACGTTGTGGATGCAAGGGCATCCACAGTCCCGGTGACTTTGGGGTACCCTGTGTGAGTGTCAGGACGTAGGATGACTATTCCTTTGCCAAATCTTGGCTTTGCATTATAGTGGTGTAGTTGGAACTACCCACAGGTTAGCTTGAATGTCAAGTGAAATAAGTAAACTCCCTATTTTCCCTGATGGTCCTCTGGTACCTGCCAGACAGTAGGACAAGGGAAAAAACAGGACACCTACCAACACGGGATTTTTTTTTTTGCCTTTGCTCTTTGTTTGCTTGTAGTTTTGATTACAAGAACAGAACTAAAACAAAACAGAAGCTTTCTTCTAAAACCAGTGAAAATCAGCTTTATCTTTTTTCCCCAAATATACATGTGAATCTGGAGTTCACTATTAGGCTGCTGCGCTAGTCTCTTCTGATAGCAGTCTCCACCTGATTAGTCACACCAGCTGCCGTGTGAGACGTATGAGAGGTGTAGCTGCATACAGCAAGTTGTTAGATCATTAAAACAGTAGAGGCCTTTTTGCAAATTAATTAAAGTCCCTTCAAATTTTACCATATATCTACTTAGAGCAAAATTTTCTCTAAGCAAACAGTTTTCTTGGCAACTGTTGGGAAAATTCTGGCCCCGGTGTCTTATATCCTGTAGAAGGACCAAAATGGAACTCATGTTTTCTTGCAGTAATAGATTTCAGCGTGGAGAAGAGAAGGCTCTGGGGAGACCTTATTGTGGCTTTTCAGTACTTAAAAGGGGCCTACAGGAAAGATGGGGACAAACTTTTTAGCGAGGCCTGTTGTCTTAGGGGATAATGGCTTTAAACTGGAAGAGGGTAGATTTAGACTAGATACGAGGAAGAAATTTTTTACAGTGAGGGTGGTGAAACACTGGAACAGGTTTCCCAGAGAGGTGGTAGACGCCCCATCCCTGGAAACATTCAAGGTCAGGTTGGACGGGGCTCTGAGCAGCCTGATCTAGTTGAAGATGTCCCTGCCCATTGCAGGGGGTTTGGACTAAATGATCTTTAAAGGTCCCTTCCGACCCAAACTATTCTATGATTCTATGATTTCAGTTCAGCCCTTATATATACGATACCTAATCAAAGGTTAGCAAAATTAGTTAGTGGTTCTGTCAGTTGAAAGCTTTGGTAAATGTATCTATGTAAAGTGAGAACAGAACAGTTCAAAAAAAATCTGTAAAAAGCATATTTCTTTTTAGTATGTTGAGTTACTTTTTCTATTTTTAATAGCATTTTATCAACAAGAATGCCATTGTGGTAAGTCAGAGAGATCCTCAACCTTTTTTGACTTGTGGATTCCTATAATTTTCTGGTGAAGGTGCAGACTGCTGTATGGTGATAGTTTTAAGCCAGCTGTCAATATGATGGGTTTTCTTCGTTATTTTTTTCACAGCCTCTTTATTAGCAGCTAATGGTCCCTACTGATGCAGATGTTAAAAGCTACTGCAGTAGGCACTCTGGACAAAATGAATCCTTGGCTTGAGGTGGTTACTGTCAACGTAGTGTTGTGTACGGATTAATGTTGTCCTGGTTTGAGGTGAAACAGGACCCATTTTATTCAGTAACTTCACTTCTTAGCTAGATCTCTTCCAACTACTGAAGTTAACAGTAAGTGCTTTTTATACAGCTTTGATTTGTCTTTAGATTTCCTAGCCCAGTATATTGTCGCTAAGTGCGGGCAGGGCTTTTCTGGGTGAATTCCAGAGCGGTTTCTAAGTATACCAGCACAGTCACATTTTTCCTGAGAAGAAATCCAGAGTATTTCCTATTGGTATAAACTGTGTCAGCTGCCTAAAGAAACGGATCTTTCTGCCTCTAAACCAAACAGTGTTATAAATGACGCTAAAGGTGGTGTGATATCTATACTCTAAAATTTTCTATGAATCAGTAAAATTCCGTTATTGAGTAACCGTAAACTCCAGGAAGGGAGAAGTAGAGTATTACCTAAATAAACAATTACAGGTTCAAGTCAGAATCTTGTTAATCTGTAACGATAAGCAAAGCAGCGACTTTCCTAAGGCCGTTCTTTTTTGTACAGCAGTCTGAGTAACCATTCACGTCACTGTGATATTTGTCAAGTAGCAAGCGGCATAACTGCACAGCGTGACATCTAGTCATAATGTACAAAGATTTTTGTAGCATAATCCTTACCGAGTTTCCAAGCAAATGTTAGTCTTTGACACATGTCGGGCTGTTACTCCTCAAAGAGCACACTGCATAATCCACAGATAGTGCATGAAGTCTTTGAATTTTAGTTATTAGTGTTGGCGGGGAGATAATAAACAGACCAGGCAAAAAAAACCCTGTCTGCCAAATGACTTTATTCACATCTGTCATCTTAATCATTAGTCCTTTAAACTTTGTAGAACAACTGACTTTTCTGAAGTGCAGTATTCTTTAGAAGGCATAAAGATAGCTGTTTCATCATGTCGGTGCCTATAGTGGGCTGATTTTATATATGTAAATGTCTCATTTTCAGTTGTAGGGATTCTGAGAAGGAGAATGGGTTTGAAAAAAAGTTTTGAGCCCAAATAGCAAAGGGTTTTATAGAAAAATACAAGCCATGATAAAAAACAGTAAGAGTGGATTTTCCAGACTTTACCCTAGTAGCAGGATTCTGGAGAAAGAGAGCACCAGACTGGAGTTGTGTTTGTTTCTTTTTCTCTCCCCTGTATGAAATGCCTCAAAGACATCATGACTTAGGAAAAAATCAATGACTGAACAAACCCACAACCTATATGAAAACCCCAGGTTGTGAGAGATCAGATGGAGGAAAGCTTTTTGTAGCAAGTATATTGCAATTTTTCAGACTTCGTAACACAAATTTTAAAAAAATTCAGATAGTCATCTATATATCTTAATAGTAATTGTGTACACTTCAGTTGTTATAGAAAGAACTTGTTGGGCCTTCTTCAAAAAGTTTGTGGTTTGTTTTTTGGTTTTTTTTAATTAAGATTGTTTCTAAGTACTAAACACTGTCTAATTGCTGCCAGTTCTAACAAGTTTTACTCTTTGGGGTGTGATGGGGAGAGTTATAATTTCTTTACTTGCTGCATTGTGAAAGACTCGGCAAAGCAGTAATGAAAAATATTGACTGACTACTTATGTGAAATAGCTAAAGTGTAAATAGCATTGCAAATGCACATAGCTGCAGAAGAAAAACAGATTTCTTTTTGTCCCTTAACTGTCACCCAGGTATTGCAATATGAAGTTTTATTTGTCATTCAATATAGTTTTAAGTGGATTTTTTTTTAATAAGTAATGTGTTTCCTTCTAAATTATTTTTTTTTATTCCTCACATTCAAAAAGTCTGTTGAAATATTTTACTCAGTTTCAGTCTTTCTTTCATTTTTTATATTCTTTCACTCTTCACAAAGCATGTCTAAACTAGAATGAGTCTGTGGGGGGTTTTTTCATCAGTCTTTGTCATTATCACAATTTATGGCTGTACCAAATGAAACGAAACCTATCAATTTCTGCTGACAAAAACAATTTGCTTTGAAGTCAGTAGCTAACTGTTGGGACAAGACTTACTAACAATTCTTCAGTCATCTGTGAAAATAAATCTGTAGTTTCAAACTTTTTCTGCAGGGGTTCTGAGACAGGCGCCTGTCTACCACTTCAGTTGACTGTTATGAGTACCTTGAGAGGGAATTTAAGAGATGAAGCACATGACATCTAGCTCTAATATGGCAAATCAAAGTAGCTAACTGTACAGTGATGACTTTAAAGCGGAGGGACGCTCCAGAGCAGACCAAGGTGATGCCCACGGCTGCTCAGCTGTCCCTTCAAAATACCCCTTGGGGGAAACAGGCAGGACCATGCAAACTGGCAGGCAGGGCTGCTGGTGGCTGGGCTGTTCCAGCCTGGCCAGGGGCCTGCCACGCTGGGTGGTGGCACCGCAAACTTCTCCCTCTGGATCAAAGCCTTCTTTAGATGCTGCTTAATTTGAACAGCCTACGAGCAATCCAGCTGAGTCTGAAGGTGGAAGAAGTCACAAAATATTAAACTTGACGTTACACCAGTATAGTTTGTGGAGAAAAGTCTTGCCAGTAATACAACTTTAAAATAATAATTGTGAGACAAAAGAGTGTTTTGTAATCAAGTGCGATTTGCGCTGAAAGGAAGCAGCACGTCAACGGCCATCTGGGAAGCAGTGATACTCTGTGCCGCATAAACCTTGGGAAGGATTTACCGATGGCCTCCTAGCCAGGGAAGCAGGGAGCAGCGTCTCTGAAGGACTGCTGGTGTGAAGCCAGCCTGCTAGGGAAAAACAGAGTTGAAGTCACCAAAACTGGCTTTCTTCCACACGTCTGACCGACACTGATCACTGCCAGAAAAAGGAAAGAAAATTACTTAGTTTATTTTCTCAGGACTTCAAAGTTATGTGACGATATCTGCACTGAAGACAGATAGTGCAGCAGGCTTCTCTCAGGGCATTTGTGAACAGAAAGAGCTTTTTAGATCCCAATGCCCTATGGCTTCCAAGTGGACAATGTAGCGTAGAGCAGTTCCCTGAGCAGGCATGGCTTTTTGGCTGCAGGTACTAAATGGTAGTGGGATGCACAACTGCAAACACCATCACGTTTTATCAGCTTGAGGCTAGAAACAGATTTAGTGTGCCGTTTGCCCAGGTGGCCAAGAAGACCAGTAGCATCCTGGCTTGTATCAAAAATAGTGTGGCCAGCAGGACTAGGGAAGTGATCGTCTCCCTGTACTCAGCACTGGTGAGGCCGCATCTCAAATACTGTGTTCAGTGTTGGGCCCCTCACTACAGAAAGACACTGAGGTGCTGGAGCGTGTCCAGAGAAGGGCAACGAAGCTGGTGAGGGGTCTGGAGCACAAGTCTTATGAGGAGCCGCTGAGGGAACTGGGGTTGTTTAGCCTGGAGAAAAGGAGGCTCAGGAGAGACTTTTATCGCTCTCTACAACTACCTGAAAGGAGGTTGTAGAGACTTGGGAGTCGGTCTCTTCTCCCAAGTAACAGGTGATAGGACAAGAGGAGACAGCCTCAAGTTCTGCCAGGGTAGGTTTAGATTGGATATTAGGAAAAATTTCTTCACCAAAAGGATTGTCAAGCATTGGAAGAGGCTGCCCAGGGAAGTGGTTGAGTCACCATCCCTGGAGGTATTTAAAAGACATGTAGATGTGGTGCTGAGGCACATGGTTTAGTGGTAACTTGGCAGTGTTAGTCTAATGGTTGGATTCGATGATCTTAAAGGTCTCTTCCAACCTAAACGATTCTATGATTAGCTGCAGGGCCTTAGCACCTATATAGTACATCAAAAGCTTTCTTTGTGCTGTGAGATAGGTACCTGTCCCTACTTCATGGTTACTGAAATCGTGTGACGGAGAGCACAGACTGGAGCAAGGGCCTGCCCTGATTTTCAGGATAACTGGGACCAAAAGGTTTAGTGGCAGGGTGATGGACATTGCTTGGCTTGAGCAAAACAAAGGCTGAGTGGCACTCTGGATGCAGAGGGGTTAACACCAGCCAAAAGAGGAACATTAAACTGAAGGATTTTACTACTCGGGAACACATTCAGGCTGTAAATTAGAGGGTTCCTAGTCATTAGAACAACTTTGTTATGTGACAGCCTTCAAATTAGCATAGTCCAAGATTAAAGGGAACTTTTTTTTTTTCCCTAAAAGCAGTGTTTGATACATTTCTGAAGGAGGTTGTATGACATGGTACCTACAGAGATGGGAAACTTGATTTGATGACCTGGAGAGTCCTTTTTGTTCCTTTTGCTGCCCGACTAGAAGTTATTGGTAGCCTGGATTGAGTTTGGTGGGTGGGAAGGGCTCCTCACCCTCCCTCAGAAGTACAGTTTTTTTAACTCAGAATTGAAGAATTTTTAATTTTTTTTTTCCATCAAAAAACAGATTGCTTTTTAATATTTGCATCTCTTGCTTTGGTTGAGTAGAATTAAGTCTTATCATCTACAGTGGATGGTGCATGGGATTTCTTGAATGAGAGGAGACTGCAGGGATTGTTTTAGGAGGGGCAGAACATAACGGTCAGCATTTATCTCTTTCCTCAGGCAAACTCCCACTCTTTAAGGAAAACAACATTCAACAAGGAGCTAGAGGTTTGGTCCCTCAAAACGACACCTTTACGTAACTGTATGGTGCGTTGCAGGCTGGTTCCCCACTGTCCTCGGTCAGGGTGAAGCCATCGCAGGTCGGTGCTCCCCTCGGCAGGGCTGCAGGGGCACACTGACAAGGCGATGGAGAAATCAGAAAGCAGGGTGTTGCTGTGCCAGATCAAAAGCATTCCAGGAGTAGCCTACCTAAAGTAAGAAAATTCTAATATTTATATATATTAAATTATTTATATGCAGAATTAATAATGCATTATTGATATACTATAAACTATCAAGCCGTAAACTTAGCATAAATAGCTGATATACAAGCTTACTTTACTGTGTCATCTTCCCCAGCTTCCTCACTGAGTTCCTGGCAGGATAGTTAATCCCATGGTTTTGTTTTCTTACGCTGAAAGCAAGTTTCTTTCCCAGAAGAGGGCTGCTAGATTAAAATCATTGGAGTCCTTTGTCATCTCGATCCTCTTAAACTAGGTGAAACCTTCTGTCCTGTCTCCCTGGGGGAGAGCTTGGCATGAGTCGCCTGCCTGTAGATTCTGTAGGAAATACTCCTTATCTCACCCATGGAGACAAAAATATAATCGCTAGCCATTTTGTAACGACACACACGCATATATGAATATACACACTCCCAAAAACCTACGTGAAAGGTGGTTTTTTAAAACACATATTCATACGTGATAACCTGACACGGTTGTCACACACCACCGAAGTCTGATCTTACCGCTGCCTGTTTCTAACTTCACATAAACAAGCCACATGTGTCCAGCACTCCTGCTGCAAAAGGAGGATTTTTATCGGCATCACAGAGGAGTTCTGAGGATTAATTACTTACTGTTGCTACAGCGCTGTGAAGATGCAAGATGCTAAGCACTGGCAGGGGCTTTCTGCAGCTTGAAAAAGCAGGCAGCACCGCAGCATGAACCACAAGTAACCTACCGTTGTTCCAGCTCTGCTGCCTTCAACGAGGCCCATAAGGAGGGGAATCTTCAGGTTATTGAATTAAGCAGAGGTAGTTTAGCGGAACTGTTTGTGTTTTGGGGTGGGTTGGTTTTTTTTCCTCTCCCCAAAGAAGAAAACAAATTTGTGAAGAAAATTGTTTAAGGTTGCAGTAGTTTGCAATCTGGCTAGCACAGGGAACTCGGGCAATACTGTTGGGGCTGACTCAGAGGTATTAATGGCAGTTTTTAAATGAGTGTGATTAGAAATATCAAATCAAAAGTAAATGAGCTTGGAGCAGCCATTCATTTTTAAAGCAGAGCATACTATATACTACTATGCTACAATATTATACAACACTAATACTATACTACCACATAACACTAATAAGGATTATGCCTGATCTCACGTAGCCATTAGGGAGACCAGGATGCTTGTCGGTTAAAAAACCTGAATGAACATTGTACCTTCTCCATACAGTTCTCTGATACCTCATGTCCTGATTGACTAATACTCTTTTTACCGCGAAGTGCTGCCAAACACTTTTTGCGGCCGGCCTTCCAAAAGCTCCCTCCCCTCCTAAAATTCAGCTGCAGGCACCTACAGCTTTGGCAAAGGAACAGCGGGGATGCTGCGGGAAGTCCTGCAGACCATCTCAGCAGGAGGAGGCCGTGGATGAGGTGTTCTGCAGGCAGCTGGCATTAGTACGTTAACGGGGAGGTAATTTGAGCAGGCAGTCCAGCAGAAAACCCTCTTTGTAGGCCAGTCCAAAGTGGTAAGACCTAAACAGAAGTCTGTACGGAGTTCAGCTGCAGGAGGTCTGCCTGGGCTTAAGCAGGGGCAGTGGTATGCTAGGAGAGGTTTTAACTTAATTCAAGATGGAAATACAGTATTTACACCAAGTTAAGGTTATTTTGGGGGGGAAAAAAAAAAATTGGATGTCACAAATTATATCATAAGCCTTTTGATTTTGAATTAGCAACATCCCTGTACACAAAAGGGTATTTACAGTGCTGACAACGCATTTGTCCACACCGTGTATGTACTTCTGTTAACAAGGGGGTTCCATGTAATAAAAGCAGCTCCTTAATAAAGGCATAGAATAAATGGGTATGTACAGTTCTGTACTTGTTCCATCAGTATAGCATGCAAATGTTTAAATCTACTCTTTATATTTCTACAGAGACTTGAGATTAATGTCAATAGGAGGTGGTACAGATGAAACCATGCTTTCCATCATATGCAAATACATGGAAACACTTCCAAGCAAGTGACACAGATCCACTCTTCCTTGAAAATTAAGCAAGAGCATGGCTTGTACTGCACACTGAAGGTGACAGCCAGTACATGTTTCAAGGGTAAAACAAGCAGAAAACATAACTAATTTTGCTAATGAACTGCTTATCACGGTCTTTGACCATTATCATTCTACATGTTCTCCAATATCAAATTTCTGTTGATGCGGAACAGTCTGAAAGCATGTGGCCTCCTGCAATTTTTTTTCCCTTTTTTTCAGTGGATTACTTTTTGGGGGGGGTCTAGTGAGCCACACTAAGCACCCAGAAAAAAATGTTTTCTTGAATCAAGGTATATCTATGTTTTAGAGCATCTAAGCCACTTCCATACGGATACAGCTATGATTTCACTAGCAGCCTAATCTAATTTCCGTGTAACTTTGCTTTCAAGATCAGTCATTATGGCACAAATTGTTCCCTGCCATATTCTAATACTGGAACAGTGATTTGGCTCTCAATTACAAGTGCTTTCCCTATCTTTCAATTTCAGCAAGTAATCATCAAAACCAGCTCTGTCATCTTTGCCAAGTTCAGATCAACTCGTACTACACACTGTCATAGACATTTGGTGGTGGGAACGGGTGTTGATTTTCATTTGTAGAATTCTACAAACAACTGTTTAATTGTATCTGAACCTTTTGGAAGCCTAAAGTTCAGCAGTAAAGTATCATGTTTTCTGTGTAATTATTAAAGAAAGATATTAAATAAAACCCTCATGTTAATACAAAAAATGTGTTATTACTTAAATTAGATGGTACAATTTATGTTCCATGCCACAGTCACCTCAAAGCAAAAGTGCGTACAGAGTATTTTCAAAATTACCGTGCTTTGTTCCACAAGAGTCTCACTGACATATACATCTGCTATGATAAGCATAAATTCTTAATTTGATCTTCTTTAGATAGTATTCTGTGCATTTACTTGCATATCAGCCATACCTTCTAAACCAACAACAGCAACTGTTCCTAAAGCAGCCATTTAAGTCAGGAGAGACAACCTGCCTTACTGCAAACAGCAGCTTCAGTGGAATTTTCCTTGTAACCAAACAGATGTGTGAAGCATTTTTCTAAGGAATCTCCATGCTACTGTAAGATTAACAGTTTCATAGTTCCGCCTGGAAAAAATCTGTATGGCTGCTAGGTAGATTCTAAGTTACATTAAACTGAGAAACACAATAGATAAATACTGTGTAAATTATATACAAGATTTCAAAGCCAAGAATAAATCTAACAGCAGTATTCCAATGCAGCTGCTATTAACTGCAACTTTGTAAGAGTACAATTAAATGCTACTAGTATTTTTCTATCATATCCACTGCATAGTGTATTTTATTCTACAAGATCATACTATAGCATCCAGAAATCTTGCTATTTGTGAATTGTAAGGACTGACAGAGTAATACTTTTCTACCAGAAAATAACCAGTAAAGCAAATGCAGATGCTGAGGAAAATGCCAAGGCTGCAATGCATGCTTCCCATCGATTGCCCCTTCCCGAGTGAAATATGTAAAGGTGAAACCGCTTTGAGAATAAGTCACCATAACCATTCTAAGCAAACGTGGAGAATTTCAGTTCAGATTTTAAACTGAAAATTGATGAAAGTGAAGGAAGGCACACGTGGTACATCCTGTGCTTGTTCCAAAAGGAAAAAAACATAAAACCATACAGAAATATGTCACAGCTTTGACTATAAAACTTTTGGTTACCTTTCAGTTCAGAAAGTTCATGTTAAACAAGCCTAACAGAGTTGTGTTTTAGCACTTAATTAAAAAAGCCCTTGTGCGTTTTCTACTAAACATAAAGTTGTTTGGAGGCTTCATAAATTCCTTGTGCTTAAGGCTTCTCCCCATTTCCTGCCCTACCTAAACAACAAGAAGAAAATTGACAACCATCCTTAAATGAAGCAACACAGAAAGGAAGACATAGGCCCAATCCATTTCCACTCGTTCCTGTGCACCACTAAAGAATGGGGGACAGGACAGGGGGGAGGAAGAAGACCTAGTTCCTATTCTGCATTAATTACCTTTTAATCTGTTTTAACATTTAAAAAGAAAATCCTGTTGGTTTTATACATGATCTGAAGGACTGGTAAAAAATCGTTCACCAGCATGTGCTCTATCAAGACTTAAGGAACACCCTAGCATATTTTTCAGAACAAAGTCATGCCATATAAGTAACTGCATCCACCCATTTTTCTACTTTATATTAGGTAGTTAAAAACTTTTTCCATTTAATGGTATAGCAGATTGATTGCCAGGGGAAAAAAAATCACCACCACCACAAAAAAAAAAAAAAAAAGAGCCTAGAAATTGTTCAGACACCTATTTAAAAGCCGGAAATCTATTTCTAGAAGATGATCAACTGTCAGGGGAATGTGGTTGTCAAACAGATATGTCAGTAATTATCATCTCACTTGTTAGGTACCTTGCACTCCACTGTCTCACTAAAATTATACAAGTGCAACGATTTTGGATGGCAAACTGCGTCCTATTGACTAGCTTTGGGAATGCTGTACTTGTTTAACAAGCCTTGCAATTCTCATGTAAAGACAATGCATTACCCTGGTGTTAGATATTCTGTTATTTGTAGAAGTATGGTAGACCCTTTAACAGTCAAAAGACTAAATCAGCTAGAAATATCTGAGCATTAATTACTTTTACACATTTTTTGTGTATTAGATACGTGATTTACATGTCACACTTCTGTTATATCTGAAGTCTAACAAACATGAAAGAAATGTAGCATACACCTCCATTTCTTATTTTACTAGTGGTCACCACACAAGTGTAGCCCCTTTAAATGCAGCACTATTCCCAAAAAATACATTGGTATTCTACAGTAGAAAAGAATGTATATAAACAACACTAGTTAGAATACTACAGGACACTTTATTTGTCAGTTTGTAATTAGTTATTAATGGCAACATGTTATACATTATTTCTAGAAAACTTTTTGAAAAACTGTAGATACAATGTCAGTATCTAGGAAACTTAATTTTTTGAATGTTAAACTCAGCAATGTAATAGCTTCCACTATTAGAAACTATTTGGTGACCCAAACCTAAGTCTTCAAAATATAAATCCTTAATATGACAGCACCTCCAACAAGTGCATCATAATATACTTTAATATAAAATTCAAAATATCTAACCTCATCAGACATCATGCAGTGTAGATTTAGGGATCACCACAGACTGAAAAGTAAACACACTAATGGTAAAAGTTCTAGTGATTCAATGGAATCATTAAGTTTTAGATACTTTAAATATAAAGAAAATATTTGTACTGTGTCCGTATTGGTTGATCCCAATGGTCAAAAGTATTTGCTTAAAAGAGTAGATGTGTAAGCATGATTTTTCACATTGAAATAAAAAAATCCAGTTTTAAGTAACTTCTCCCCAAAACACGCCATTTAAGCTGCTTGAACACATACGCTATCAAACCTATCCACAAAAATGATTTTTGGGGGTACCACCATGACATTCACTAGCTTTAGGCCAGCCTTTTAAAAATCCACAGATAAAACCAATTTAGAAAGATGCAAGTATTCTTCCTGCTTTTGCAACCTAGAAATTACAAAATGCCTGAAACTGGAGCTCTAATTTAGAGCATGGCCCAGAATGAAAAGCAGAATCAAAGAGAAAGCCTTGTAATTCTGCAGTTACTTCATATCTGAACAACCATTGTTTTCTGTAATTTTTTAAATCAATTCTATAAGCTATTCTCCTCTAAAAAAGCAACCTACTATGCTAGCAGTTTCTGCATATTTACAAATAATCCCCCCAAAACAGGGGATGATGGGAAAAATTCCGATACATTAAGAAAACTATATATAACACTGCATTAATAGTTAATGCAATTTACAACAATTTCACTGTGTTTTATCAACAGAATATGCCACTTTCGATCAATGTCTTCATTAATTAAGACTGCTTTGTAGTTGAAATTACACAATTTAAACTGATGGTAACATGCATCACCTCAGTTTAATAATCCAGTATATTACAAAAAAAACAAACAATGCAAAGAGCATCATGTAGCATAATAGCTTTGTCTGGCTTCCTCTGGAGAGTGTTCTCAGTCTGCCCATAGTTGCACCCAGAAGTCCACCCGTAGAGTCAAAATCATTATCCTACGTTTAAAAACAAGCAAATAATCGCATCAACAAAAACCACATGATACTGAGGAATTTTAACGAGGAAGATTACCCCTAAAGCTTCCTAAGTGTTTTTCCTGGTTTTCCAAAACTAAAATTATTTCAGAGGCAGTTTATGAAAATTAAGCAGGAAAAAACTTTTGCCCATTTATCCAGATAGATGTAAGCAAAAAAGGCATTTCTGACTTATTTTTTGTTTCCCCTTCTATTCTTAAATACATTTAAATATAGAAGTGCCTTTTTAATAATGCTATACATTTACTAATTGAAAACAAATAGTCATATTTGAAGTATAAAGACTTTGGTTGTGCCTCGGAAGGAATGCATTTGCACATCTATCTTTTTGAACAGAAATACTGCTGCTGAATTAGTCACATTTTACACTCAACAATAAGCTGTCAACATTTTAATACAAATGCTCATACTAAAAGAAGGAATGCTTTACATTACTAACTTCTTAATCCTGCCCCCTATTTAAAGAAAGTTAGTGACAAAACACTTACCATTTCTGATAACATTTTATTTTGGTTTTTAACTTCTGTTCCAATTTCAATGGAAAGCTATTAAAAAAAGACAAAACTTATTTAATAACAGTAATCAGTTACACATAGGATTAGAGAAACCAGTCTAAAATACGTGACTTGACTAGCATTTCCCCAGGTAAAGTGTGAAAACAGTACTTGGTATTTTCAAAAACCAAAATAACATGCACAGTATTCTGTCAATAGCCATCAGGAAAGTAAATATTTGACGAGATGAGTCTAGAGAGTCACAGAAGGTACTCAATGCTCCTCCTCCCCTTTTCTCCATCAACAAAGAAATCCTTGTTAGGATTATTGCATGGACTTTCAAAAATTCAAGCTCTCGTCAAGTCTAAGTAGCAATTACCCATTTCCTGGAACAACTGTTAAAACTACTGGAATGCAGCATAGAGGACCACAAGCACTCTTTTTTGACCCAGCATTGCTGGAGTTGGCACCTGTAATCTGCTAATACCTCTTCTGACAACTTGCTGCTACGCTACAAATGGGAATTTCTTTTGTGAACTTGTCTATTCCTTCTCTGCTTTGTGTCGTGAAACAGCAAGGGCGCAGTGGGACAGGGAGGCAAGTCGAGCGTGCAAGCGAGGGCCAGTCCAGAGGTAGTAACCAGGGTCAGCGACCGCCTGGTCATCACCCACCGCATCCACAGCTATGAGACAGGTCCAAGGTCAAGCCAGAAAGTCCAGTCTCCAGGTTGGGGTCAGAATCAGGGAGGTATGATACCAGGCACAGACAGAGCTACAACACAGCAAAGGTGGGGACCAGCGAAGAGAATCTCAGCTTCGAAGCAGCTCTCAAGTGAAATAGGGGAGAACGTTAAACTTCTTAGCAGCTCTTCCTCCGTAACAGTTCTTACCAGCACACTGGCCTCAACCAACCAGCTCAACTCCTAGTAGGGAGAAATGCGCTCCAGACCCCAACGCTTTGGATTAGTGAAAACCCGTATGTTTTTTGTGACACAACCTAAATCTCATTATTTCTTAATGCTGCATTTCACCACAATCTATCAGCAAGTCAAGAGCGAAACATGAGGCTTCTAGAAGATTATCTGAAGATTATTCCATGCTCCAAGATCATGACATTGCACTAAAAGATGCAACTGCAGAAAGAGCACACATGCCGCTCCATGGGGCACTACCAACCACACTGTAGACAAACCCTGGGACGTTAATTTGAAATGTAACATACCAGAGAAGGAGACAAGAAATGAAATTTTGTAACAAAGGTCAAAGTTTTTCTTTTTACCTCCTTAATTTACTGTAAATTATTTAGGTGAATAATTTCTTAACTTAAACCCAAGGTTTTATTTTCTATTTGAGGCTAAACAAATGACTTTTAAGCAACAGGATATTATTAGCAATAGGAATTTAAAGGAGTTTAGGCCTAAGAATTCATTGGCTTATACTACATACAAACAGCACCTATTGCTAAGAATGTTTTTTTAAAAAAATCTTAAGTTGTTAAGAAAAAAATCCCCACACAGTTTTAATCACAGAGCTGTCTAAGTTAGATTTGCTTGAAAGAAGTCCTCAATCTCTGGAAGAAATCAGAATCATTAAAATAACAAATTTATCTTTCAGAGTATATTAGCATGCCATTTCTAGCAGCTCTTTTCATATTACAGATTTATCAGCAGATACAGCAGAAGCTGATGAGCCACAATGATAACACCAAAAACAAGCGCACCATTTTCTTAAATGGACCTGAGCCAGTTTACTGACCTAAACTCAAATTTTCTAGTTTCTGCAGAGACAGTAATTCATTCTGTAGAAGAGTAAGCCATTGTGCACTTCAGCTGACAATAACTCTTTCTTGTACTAAATTTATGTTTTAAACTAAGTCTGCTGCTTGACTGGTCCATACAATTTAAATCAATAAATGTGACGAAACCACTGTAATTAAATACTTACTGATTTAATGGCACTGACTTTTGTACGCAGACTTTCTGTTAACCTTTCATTTTCTTCTTCATAAACACTGTATCCACTATTGGTATAGCCATAGTTACCAGCAGATGCTGCATCGCCTATAAACGGAAGAGTCAGTAGTTAGACAGAAAACACCACTGGAGCAAGTGCTTTTCACGCGTGGAAAAGCGTTCTTTCCATTTAAAAATGCATTTCCTTAATGTCACCCTCAGCAATCAGGAAGAGGCACCACGTGTACCTGAGACAGAGATTCAACCTTTTTCAAATGTGTAAGTTCTCTTTCAATATGCAAATCAAAGACAAAACTCAGGAATGGTTGTAATTTAATACTATGAAATTTTTCCCCACATAGTGTTTTCAGATTACTTCTACAGAAATCAACCTAGGCATTACATGGAGATGTGAAGGGAGCATTGAGGCCACTACACAGAGTGGTAAACTTAACTCAAAATAGGAACGTTGAGATCGTTCTCCAACAAAGATAAATACCATTTGATCATACCCACATTTAAAGGAGAGAGCATACGCTGATCCTTACATGTATTTCTCCACAAACAAGACCTCAGAAAAGAAGCCAGGCCTCTGAGCAGAACACTGCCATTTCTGTCACCATTCTGCAGTTCTGTTTCCACTCCTGCCTTTGCTTTTGAGGAGCTTCAGGACTTCAGGAGCTTGTCTGGAGCTTCAGACAACTGACTCAGCAGAGTAAGTGCAGCAGAAGGGAATGAAAGCTCCTCAGCTCCACACGTTCTCTTCTGCCAACCTCTAATAAAGATCTGCTACAGACTACAGTCAGACAGCAGCACAGGCACAGGAGAATTAAAGCTGTGTCCTGTCAGGACAAAAATCAGTCTGAGGCCTGAATCCAAAGATTTGAGGCCAAGACTGAGAAAGGCAAGCAGAAAAGAACTATTATAAGCTTTACAATAAAGATCCTACTAGATTAATTCAACTAGCAAGTCAGCTATAACATTAATGAATATTTATATGGCTAGTCAGAGTGCCACACTAAATTGTCTGACTGCCTTTGGTTAATTCCTCTTCAATACAATTTAAAGATTTTTGTGTTTGGGTGCGTTTTTTTTTCCGTTTTCTTTTTTGAGGAAGAAGGAGGAGAGGTACCAACCACATTCACAGATAAAGCTCCGTCTCAAACAGTCTCACTGTGTGCTTGGCATACAAAATATTAAGATTTTAAAAGATGGAATTATGAAGCTACTTTTTATAATAGATGTCATTTTATATTAATGTATAAAGCTGTTCTTTAAGTAATGACAATCTTTCAGTTTGTATTTGTAAACTGTCTTAATGTTATTCTATAAATTAAGCTAATGACAAATTCTCAACAAGACTGAAATCTATGTTTTTGTTTTATCACAGTGAGTATGCCAAATATAGAAAGTTGACTAAAATGACATCATTTAGAGAGTCAGGCTTGTTCCCTTTGTCTTGTTTTACAAATGTGTCCAAGTACAGCGCTTCCTACCAAGCGACACAGAACTTTGAATACGTTTATAAGTTAATATACCATATAGCTTCAGGCCAAAATATCATAACTATGATTATTACATAGACTGTGTCATAACAGATGTGAACAACCGCCCCAAAGCTTTTAAACAGGTAGAGCCACTTCTATACATGCAATAGAAAGCACTTGGTAGAAGCCTGGCTACTGCTGTCTACAGGAAGGACAGAAACTTCAGCATGGCAGTTCTGTGGGCTGTCTTGCAACACTGTTCATTGACAGGACATGTAATATGGACAAGACCATAACGTAATCGCAGGCTAAGAAAGATGTACCAGGTAGCCGGTGCCCAGCTTCTATTTACAGCCTACTAAATAAAAAGGAATTCTAGACCACCAGTTGAAATGTTAAGGGAAAGCAGCAAATTCCACTGCAGCTGGTAACAGTCATAATAGACATTTAAGTCTTCTGCTTGACCTTCTAGCAGATTGTCTAAGAAGTCGTTTCAGGATGTTCCTTAAGGCACTGTTTGCCAGAGACACGCTAAAAGAAGGCATACCCTTTCCCCTGCACTCCTTCCATAAACATCCATCACTTTACTTTTTCAGAAGCAGCGTACTGAGCTGGATGGCCTTCAGTCTAACCCCCCGAGTTCATACCCAAGAGCAAGCTGTTACTGTGACAAAGAAAAGGACTGAAGGCCTAAGCGTTATCAAATGCCCACCTTTTTATGATAAACATCCCAACACCTCTCTTGATCTAGTAAGAAGCATATGTAAGATTTGTTTTATCTTGTGAAAATACTATTATACAACACAAATTGAAAGTTTGGAAGTAAATCTAGAGCAGTGTTACAGACACACGTGTTTTAGCCACATGGCATTTATCAGCCCCTAAATATTCACTGTCTAGAAAGAAATACCAGAGTTCAGTCATAAATTTCTGAGGCATAAACATTACTTAAGCTTTACAGCGAGGTCACAGCACCTACGTGGTTCTAGAACATGACATGGGAGTTCAAAGTTTATAGTCATCAATGTGGCTGCTGGTGGAAACACAGGGCCTAAGCTTCTCAAAACAGGCAGCAGGAACTCTGCAGAGATTTCTGCCTTTGCATCAGATCGTATTTGTAATAAATTGACAACAGTTGGGTGGTTTTTTTGTTCTCCCAAAAATAGCAGGAAAACATAAAGAAATACTAAAATTAAAAAACAACTGAGAATTTGGAAAGGACTTGACTGAAGAGTGACCAATCTCTCCATCCACAGAAACATGGCTCAAACTAACACTGCACTAGAACCACTCACCAACACAACAAAATACAACTCCGGGTGCTCCTCCCAAAGCCCAGCTGAGCTGGAAAGCGAAGACAGACGGGTAGCGGACACCATATTTTTCCCCCCCAAAGCTCCCGAGCCCTGCTGCAGGCCTACACCCACCGGCACAGCCCCTCTCACACAGACACCCCCTCCCCACGGAGCCCCCACTCGGGGCCGGGCCGGGCC